CTCACGTGAAACTAGTTTCTATCAATGTTTACACCCTACATGGACTGACATATACACTCTGGTATGCTCAGCCCATAATAAGGATATTGCCCTAAATCGTCAGTCCTTCATTGTCCCAATGCAAACCAAGACGCCTTTTGACCAACCTCCCTTTTAATCGAGCCAAAAATAACTACAGAGACAGATACCAAAAAAGCAAGTCTAACTGCCCCCTCTTGTATTACCAAAATTATTTAAAGACTTTGCTAATAACCAAAAAACATTAACAAAAACCATAGCCATACTTCAAAGTCAAACAGACTCTAACAGTCGTCGCTTTTCAAAATAAAAGAAAATTAGATCTTCTGACAACTAAGAAAACTTCCCAAATCTGGCAACAATCCTTAGATTCCTGTAAAACAGGATTTAACACCTGGGATAAGACTCCCTGAGTAGTGCACCTGGCAGAGCCCCTTCTGATTCTCTTGCCAGTGTTCATCTTTGGGACATGCCTCTTAAGACTTGCTAATCAGATTTATCTTTTCCAGAATAAAGACCTCTAGGATCCAAATCCTGATGCCATAGGGTCATCAATTCTGGAGGTGGCGCGAGGTGCCCGTGAGTAATCTTGATCAGGCTGCACATAGATTTAGATAACGGACGTCACTAATCAAGTCCCCAGGGACAGCAATAGGAAATTCCTGATAGGGTCTGCAGCCTCTTGTCAGCTTGAAGCAGATACCAAAGATGGATCACCCCCCTTCAGCAGCCCCAAAAAGAATTTTTTGGATATTGTCCCTCATGGGGAAATTGAGGCAGGTTAGAGTTAGGGAAAGTTTGGGGCTCCTCCCCATAGCTCACAGGTCAGAGAAGCCAGGTAATGATGAATTCTTTCCCCACTTCCAAGTTCAAGGTGGTATAAAAATGACCTAACAAAAGACGCTGGCCCTTTGGCCCTTTTTTTCCTTTTTCCTTCTTGCACCACAGCACCCCCTTTCACCTGGCAGAGCTGGTGATTCCCCTTCCCTGAATAAAAGTTTTTTACCTCACCACACTCACATGTTCTGGTTGGATTCTTCCACGCCAGAGCGCAAGAACCAAGATCTTCTGGAAATACCTTTTGCTGTTAACACTTTAAGCTTTTTTTTTTTTTTTCTTGTAGAACAGGTCTGAGCTTTTGTTTGTCTGGGTACAGTTAGTTTGAAAACCTAATGTCACCATCTCCTGACCTATTAAGAATTCTGCTGAAATGTCTGCTATCAGAGAAACTGGAAAGAGCTTATGTTGTTCCTTTTCTCTTGCTATCTTGAGAATCTTGTCTGTAACTTTTGAGAGTCCACTCATAATTTTGTTATCTTGAATCACTGGTGACCTTTGGCCTTCCTGTACATGGATATTCATATGGGTTTTGGAAGTATATGTGAAAACCATTGTTAAAGTGTACAAATTAGTGGTATTTATACACACAATGCTGTGTAACCATCACCACTATTTCAAAATTTTTTCATCAATCTACATAGGCTATAGCCCATTAAATAATAATTCCCCGTTTCTCCCACTATAATCTGCTTTTTGCTTTTTGACTTTATGAATTTGCCTAGTCTAGATATGACATGTAAATGGAATCATATAGTATTTTATTCTTTTATGTCTGACATGTTTCACTTAGTATAATGTTTTCAAGGTTCATCCATATAAAATCCATGCTGTAGCATAATTCATTTAGATTTATGACTGAATAGTATTTTATAATGAGTGTGTATAGCACACTTTGTCTTTCTTTCATCTGTTAATAAACATTTAGATTGTTTCTACCTTCTGGTCATTGTGAATACCGTTACAAGGAACAGTGGCATATAAGTATCTGTTTCAGCCCTTTTTCAATTCTTTTGTGTACATATCTAGGAGTAGAACTGCTAGTTCATATGGTAATTCTACGTTAAGCTTTTTGAGAACACACCAAACTGTTTTTCAATGTGGCTGTGAGGCAGTCTAAAATTAGGGAAAGTTTAGGACTCAAAAATTTAGTATTACACCTCAGATTAACCATGCTCTGGCTCAAGGACCACCCTCAACCTGGCCAGGAACCACCCCTTCCCTTCTGCACTCATTGATTGGATGGAAATCACCTGGTTCCTCCCTTCCATAGATTAGCATAAGTTTTAAAAGCACCTGGAAAACAGAAGCACGCTCTCCAGACTCCACCTGTGCCCACCATGCTCCCTTTTGTATTTCCCTTCCCTAAGTTTTAATAAACTCCATTTACACCCACGTGTCCTGCGATGGATTCTTCACCAAGGAAGTCTTCTGTCACACTCCATCCTGCCCGCAGCAGCACAATTTTACATCACCACTAACAAGTACACTGTACAAGGAGTTTAATTTTTCTACATCCTTACCTACACTTTTTATTTTCCTTTTTTTTTTTTTTCTAAAAAGTTAGTTTTGTTTTGTTTTTGGCAGCACTGGGGTTTGAATGCGGGCCCCACATTTGCTAGGCAGATGCTCTTACCACTTAAGACACTCCACCAGCCCTCCATTTTTAAACTATAGTCATACTAGTAGATGTGAAATTAAGGCAGGATAGATGGATGAGGAGACAGGGAAATTATATTATTTTGATATTTGAAGGGCCAGACTATGACAATGGAACAAGGAAATAACGGCTGGAGAGCCAGAGCAGCTAGTCCCCTCCCATCTCCTTTAAGAAGCTGTTACAGGAACAGGGAGACAAAGAAAAGCTACCTGCTTCTGCTTTCCTCTTTGAGATGTTACCACCATTTTGAGTCTTTGCTTCTGTTTCCTGCATGGGAAACAGGAAATGTTTCTCTCCCCTTTTTCTCTCTCTCCCCTGTCTATACTTCATCCTGTTATACTAAAATAAAGCCTTGCTAAAGCTTCCACCTTATCAGACTCCTGAGAAACTTTGATATGTTTTTCAATGTTTGTGATTCTACATGGAAACTGTGAGGCTGTGGGAGCCTCCTCATCCATCATCTGGTGACAAAATGATATATCATTGTGATTTTGAGTTGCATTTTTCTGATAATTAGTGATGTTGAACATCTTTTCATAGTTGGTCACATGTGTGTCGTCTTTTGAGCAATGTCTATTCAAGTGCTTTGACCGTTTTTAAGTTGAGTTATCTTTCTGTTACTGAGTGGAAGGAATTCTTTAATACTGTGGATACTGTTGGAGTCATTTTGTGACAAGTGTTTTATAAGTTTTAACATAATTCCAAAATGTTTCCCTTGGCACTGTTACCTTTCCTCATTCAACGTGAGACTTTTGTAGGTTTTTTGGTACATATGATGCATGACTTTATACTACTGTCATTCTTAGAACCCTCTTTTATCTATTTTAGTACTTGATACTACATTTTTCCTATTAACTGAACTCTGACTAATAGGCAGTTTGGGATAAAAATAAAGCTTGGGTATGACTATGAATGTGGTGGAGGTATGTAGAGGATATAATCATTGGAAACGAAGACGTCAACAAGTAGAAAAATTAAGGAGTTAGAAAGATCATGTATATCAAAGTTGAAGTCACAGAGTAAAAGAATAAAGACAACAGTCCAGGAGTTCACTGGCTCAGTATCTTTACATTGTACCCATGACTACCAGGTACTTCCATGAATGACACTAGGAGCTCTGCTATAACAACCAGTTTCCACCCTGATTCAAAACATTCTGTCTAAAATAGTTGTCATTATTGGGTAATGTCAAGAATCCCAGTTTGGAGTAAGGGAACCAAGCACCAAACCCAACTTTATCATGTACAATTCCGCTTTATGACCTGAGGGAATTAATTCCCTTCTTTGGACCCAGGTTCTACCTCTATGAAACAGAATGTTTATTCTTTCCTGATCCTTACAGAACGACTGTGAAGGGACTCTGTATACATCATATACACTAATACACTCATGCTGGAAATGAGCCCTATTTCCTCACCTACCCAGATACACAAATTCTATGGCAAAGCATTCTTTTTGTCCCTGCCCCCATTCTGATCCAAGCCTCCCTTTGTTTTCCTTTGGACCACTGCTATGTTCTGCTACCCAACTCCTTGATAATTCTAAAACATCCTGATCTGGCAGAGTGGCTCAAGTGGCTGCCTAGCAAGCATGAGGGACTGAGTTCAAACACCAGTACTAAAAAAAAAAAAAAAAGAAAAGAAATATCTAAAACACATCCTTCTAAAAAAATGAGGTAACCTGCCTTTTAAAACCTACATGGCAGCTCATTACACACTTAAGAATCTCCATGATCCAACCTCAGTCAACCTTACAACCACACCTCTTCCTCACATAGCCCTCTCCTGTCCCCAAATTGGCATCCACATAGGTTATCTTGACATTCTATAAATCTGTTATTGCTCATTAAGATGCCTTCAAATTCACTGATGCCTCTGTCTGGAATGTTCTCCCCTTCTCCCATTTCTGGCTGGTAAAATAATATTTTCCTTCAAGGCTCAACCCAAACACAACTCTGAGAATATAGATTTTTTTTTCTTCTTCTTTCTTTTACAGTATAGGTGGTGACCTTTTTCTCCAATGAGGTTCCTCTGCACTTGGCTTATTCTTCTCTGGAAGGCTCTTACCACAAATGGCCTGTCTGTGGTTATCTATAAACATGCCATATCTCCTTCACTATAGGCATGACCTATATCTTACTCAGCAGAAGGCCTAAAATATAGTAGGTATCAGGGAATACTAGTTAAATAAATGTTAAGGTAGTACATAGAGTTAATTTATAAGATGGTTTACAATGAGAACAAATTTGAATTATGTGTGAAGACTACATAGAATTATGTGTGAGCCTATGGTTGAGTATGCAGAGGTACAGAAGAAGGTTTGTAAGGGAGATGTGTTTCATGTACATGGCATGTGCATATGTGCTATATAAACGCAGCAAAAGCTCCCTAGGACGTGTCCTCTCTACATGTGGGGCCAAGCTGGTTGTCATACATGGCATTGGACATACCCCTCCTGCCCTCCGCCTCGGTCCCTACTTTCCTACCTTAAGTATACATCAGTCTCCAGTCCATAGGCCTTATGTTCAACAGCCTTCTCAAAGGACATCATGGTGTTCTCTGGTGCTAACTGTGGAAGAAAGGGACATCAAGCCCTATGCCTCAGAGTTCCTCCTCCCGACTCTTTTTATGATAGAGATGGAGCCCAGGAATAAAGGGTTTTGGAAAGAAATTGTCTCTCTTAGATTTCTTTTCAAAAAGGCTGCCTGCATTCCCCTCTGTCCAGTCTCACACTGGGCACAGTAAAGAGAAACTGACTGAGAGTTAGATGATCTGGGTTCAAGTCCAAACTCTACAATTAGATCCTTATTCTTGTCATATGAAGACAATCATTTTTCCTTTCCAGAGGCTCCTATGTTTCTGAGATTCCTTTTTCTCATCCACATGTCCCATACAAACCTGTACTCATTCATATTCATTATGCTCAGACCTACCATGGGTGCACCTCTGTGTCCAAAGAAGACGGGCTTAGGCCCCAAATCCTCCTTCTTCTGAATGCAGGGAGAATAAATCCCCAGTGGCATCAAATAGAGACATAAAAGGATAAGAAGAAAGGGCAATCCAGCAGCCAGTTGTAGAGCTAAAAATGTTGGAAGAACAAGGAAGTGAGAAAAAAAGGGATGGAGAACTATCTCATACAACTAATTACCCCCAAAGCAGCAGTCTGAGTTGATACTCAGTGCATAGATTCCCTGACTCTGTGGACTGGCTTATTTATTTTCTATTTCTGTCACATTTTCACTTTCAGAGATTTGGATATAAATGTATAGGTCTGTCTAAATATAAAACTGACTTTTTTTCAGTGCTGGGGATAGAGCTCAGGGCCTTGAAATGCTATGCAAGTGCTCCACAACTGAGCTACATTCCCAGCCCAAGGCATTATTATTAAGACAACATTACTGGAACTGGAAAATGACAAAGGAAACAACTGTACAGAGGAAGGAGGAGAGGAAGGGAAGGGGAAGGAAAAGGAGAAAAGACAGGGAAGGGAAAGAAGAGGGAAAAAAAAGAAGGGAATGGAATATAAGGAGTAGCTTCTTAGGAGGAGGAACCTGGCTAGTTCTGAGATGTTTGTGAAGATCATCCTTAGATGCCCATGTTTTTAGGGCAGAGAAGTATGGTGGAAATGGTGCTAATTGACAGCAACTTGAGTTCAAAACCAGGCTCTATTACTTCCTAATGGTGTGACTAAGAACATGTGGCTTAATCTCTGGGCCTTCATTTTCTTCTGCCTTGCTGCTAACATTAGCCTCAGAGAGCTGTTATACCAGTGCTGACTCATAATAGTTACTCAATAAATACTAGCTATATGCTTCCCTCCCTCTTGCCCCCTCACTCCCCCATACTCATACACAAAGCCTGTCCACAATCCCTGTTATTACTGACCATTTTAGACATATAATTTTATACCTCTGAGGATTTTACCCATTTGTACATTTTTAAGTTACCATATATGCTTCAATGACTTTCAAATCTAGGTCTCCAGCTCTGACCTTTTAACCTTTTGATTGTATTTTGTTCCTCAAGTATATCTTTCTCATAACATGTCAACTTGAATCTTCTTATTCTAACTAAAATTTAGAAAGTGAAAATTAGTTATTTTCACCTTTAAGCTGTGCCCCAGAAATATCTTCTAAAATTTACACTACACACACACACACACACACACACACACACACACACACACGCGCGTGCGCTCGTGCAAGCATTTATAAACATACAATGACACCATTATCGAACTAACCCTTCTCTTGCCTGTGTCCCCCCACAAAGTTAGGAAGCAAATATGTTCTAGTCAACCAATATTAAAAAGGTAGACCTAGGAGAAGATCCCTTTGATCTTTCAGTAAAGATGGCGAGAGATAATTCCATTCTCAAAATAGTTTAGTGTACAAATCTCATTCTCTTTTGTTTCTATTATAGGGAAAAGAACAGAAAAATAGTGGCAGAGATAAGACATTTCTGCTTCTGCTGGAAGTCCCCAGGTATGACAGGGACTCACAAGGGACTACTTTCTTACTCAGATGTAACCACAGGTCTCTGAACCTATTGTTAGTTGAAATCAGTAGTATTTAAATACAAACTAAAAGAACTGTGTTTTGTGCTAGCACTTTGGTCAAGTGAAATTAAAATTGCCTCTATTGCCCCTATCTGTGCCCCAGATAATGTGTGGTAACATAGAGAAATATCTTATTTTTCTAGAAGAGTCATCTTTCTTAGAAGATCAGTTTGGTCATGGAAATACTGTGGTAGGTCACACAGGGGTGAGTGAGAGCACAAAGAACATGCCTACATTATAAGCTAAAGGAATTTCAAAGAGGTATAGGGTGGTTAGCTACCAAGTTTGTTTTTCTGAGTGAAGGTTGCAAGCCAAATCCAGAGCTAAATGGACCTGGAAAGGTTCCATCCCACATGACATACCTTCGGCTTCCAAATGGGCCACACAGAAGGCCAGAGGCCAGGAAATGATAGTCATCACAGTTATGCTGCACAGGTGCACATAGGGAGAAAAGATCTGGAAGAAAAATCAAAAGTCAATCTAGACATAGCTGAACAGATAGTGCTAAGAACTACAGAGTGATACTTACCTTCAGGGACAGCCCAGCTATCAACCACTTGTCTCTCCAGAATTTGCATATAACGACCATAAAAAAGATGCATATAGGAATCACTAGCATAATCAGCACCTGAGGAAACAGAAAGGATCATCTGACTTCCAGACACCTGGGTTTGGATCAGAACTGTCCTTGGAGCCAGGTGTGGTGGGTATGCACTCAGAAGGGTGAGGCAGGAGGATCGTGAGTTTCAGGCTAGCCTGGATATAGAGCAAGACCTTGTCTCAAAAAAATTAAAAGAACTGTTCTTTGGAATTGCACGTGTCTCTGCAATAATCACAGACCTCTTCCCCTCATCCTTTTAATCTAACCATTCTGCAAATTCCCAAGTATTGGGTGGATCCAATCACCTTCTTTGTTCCTAAGTCCTAACTATAGAGCATGGCTGGAAAAAAAATTACACAACTATGTGGTTTTGTGAGAGGATCTTAAAGTGCTTTTGCTGTAAAGCAGTGACTCCTTGGGCCCACAATTTAAATTAAAGCAGGAGAAAAACTTGGCATCTCTCCTTCATTTTATATCTGTGTCTTTGCTCTAAGCTATTCTCTCTGCAGCTACTTTGCAATCATCTTGGATTCCAGGAAAGACAGAAGTGATAATCTTCATGACAAGGGAAAGAAACTAACCCTAACAATAGAGCCTCCTCAGGATAGATGACCTGCCAGCCAATAATTCCTGAACTACAACTTCTCCTGAACCCCTGAAGAATAGGACTGGGACTGCTTATCTATGCTTACTGGTAAGCAGTCCAGTTCTTTGTCTATTTAAACTCATGTCTGTACTCTGAAGATAGCTGAAGATGGGATGAGCGTTTACTGTATCTCTTCCCACAGAGTGTCCCAGGTCACGCAATAGATCTCCTTTCTCTGCCCTTCACTATGTCTCTTTATTTGGCCTATGGGGCCAGACCTGACATGTGGAAGCCCAGGAGTTTGGCCCTGGGGTCCAAAACTCTGGTTTCAGTTTGATGCAATTACCAATTTATCATCCCCATCTGCAGCCAGGCCTTTAGCATGACTTGATGTCTTTCACTCAAGTTTCCAGAATGACCTTCACCTCTTCTTTAAACCTCAATTGTGTGCTCAATACAATTTTACAGATGCCTTTTTGATGTATGTTTTCCCCAACAAACTATAAACTTCATAAGGTCAAGGAGAATATCTGTATTGTTTTTTATTTCCTCGGTGCCTCACAAAGTGTCTGGTACACAGTAAATATCTAATAAATCTTTGTTGAAGAGATGAAAAATGTGCCTTCCAAAACGTACACTTCACAGAAAAAAAAGAACATTGAGACCAAGGAAACATACACTTCACAGAAAAAAAAGAACATTGAGACCAAGGATGTATAACTTGGTATAAGGTATAAGAACTTTCTTAACTTCTTCCCCCTCAAATATAAAGTTTTCTACATCTTTGTTGCTTTCTAGACAGTTCCCTCCTTTCCATAGCCTCTCTATCTAAAGTAACTAAATCCACAATTAACTGTCTCACAAAATAACTTCATTCTGGTTTCAATGATAAATTTTACCCATCACTTAAGGAAGAAATATCTTCCATCTTTTACAAACTCTTCCAGGAAATTAAAAAAAAAAAGACTTTCTACTTCTACCTTATGAAGCCTTCAAAACAGTGATGCCCAAATTCAATAAAGACATCACAAGAACAGAGAACTATAGAACAATTTCTTTTGTGTACATAGATGCAAGAGTCTTAACCTATCAATAAACTAAATGCATCACAATACAAAGACTGAACTGTCAAATCAGACTCATGTGAATCAAAGATCTTACCCATCACCAAACTTTATAAATGAATTTCAAAAATATAAGCAATCATAGGTATGAATGTTAAATGTAAAAGATCTTTTCTTTCCTGCATCAGAACATATTCTGATTTGAACTTAAAATGTGAGGTTTTGAGCAAAGTATGTAGAAATGCTGTTTCACAGAAGGAGCCATTTGGTTATGGAGCATCCTCATCTGTTCCTTCATTAATCATACAACTCTAGTCAGCAATGTCTCCCACCACACCAATCTATATACTTCAGATTTATTAACAGTAAAAAAACAACCTAGATATACCAGGTTTATCCTGTTGGAAATTTCACAGATAAGAATTCTGTGATAATAAATACCTTTAGTATGTTTACCAGGTCAGATCACTAAGCATGTCTTGACTGAGGCCATTCATTTCTCCCTGGGCATCCCTCGGGAAAGGGGGAAGGGAGTATAGGCCTGGTACTAATCCTTTCCTTCCTGGATTATTCTGAGAAAAATAAAACTAAAACTCTAAGCCCCACAGAATCTCTCTTGCCAAAAGAGCAGACTCTCTTCCTAAGTGTGGTAAGTCTGGTTCTTGCTGGTTTGAAGGACTAACCAAGGTAGTTACCTTTCAAGGGAATGTCAACTCTTTTCAATATCCCCTCCATCACTTCGCATTGCCTATAGTTTTGTAACTGCAATTAGATCCCAGAATAGCCTTAGGACACAAAGGCTTAGAAAAAAATGGCAAGATTTTGGTAACTTATATTGGCAAAAATCCTATAGATGTGTGGGAATGAATTCTAAGGATATTAGAAAAGGAAAACAATTTTAGACCAGGACAATTTTTTATATGGATACACTTATCAGAGATTCAGATTTCAGTATATCAGAATCCAAGTACCTAAGCAGCATTTGTCTATCTGAAACCCTGACTCAACAGTAGCCGATGCTTAGTGAAACTGCGATGCCAGCAACTTCTTGGTACAATATAGGAGAAACAACCCAAAGATTTATTGAGAAAGGGTTGCTGGAATGATATCATTTGTGATCAGCTAGCCTATCCACTATAATGTTCTTGGAGGAGGTCTCAAAGGACACTGAAAAATACACTTTTCACAAAAGCCTCAACATCTTTGAAAAGCACTGTAGTGGCTGTCCTCTATGTTTGAATGGAGGTGAGAGATGCTGCCACTGAAATGGACTTCCTGATTTAAAGGAAATGATGTTGTGGCAGAGGCCAAGTAGCTGTACATAACTGGCTCAAGCCACATAAGCAGAGTTTCTATAATAGGCACAATGGTAATCAGAATGGTTTAACTCACAGATTCTTGGTAGTGATTAATTTATCAAGGTAATTTATCCCAATTCCAAAATAGGTGTTGTTATCAATAAGGCTTATTTGTTCACTTTTCACTAATATTTCTCCACTAACAGACTCATGGATTCAAGTTCCATCTATTCTAATAACTCTTAAATTAAAATTTCCAGCTTATACTTCTCATTTGAGTCTGAGGAGATTTAAAGATGCTACAGATAATTTGACATGTTCCCAGACTTGGGGAAACATAAAGATTATATCACAAAGATGCTTTAAAAAGTCTATAAAAGCAAGAGACTACTACTAAAGCTGCTCAAGCCCACAGCAGAACAAAATAAGAAACACTATGTTGGGAATATGATGTAAATCCACACATGATAAAGCAAAGTAGTCCATTTCTGGGGACCAGATATAAGCCCTTTGAGAGAACCCATGTGTATTATTATAAATACGTTACTGACTTGCTTTGTCAAAGCCAGGGTCTTTGACAATGAGAGAGTGAACAAAGCAAGGAAGTTTATTTAGAGAGAAAGAGCAGAGCTCCCACAGCTGGGAGGGGTCCTAAAAGAAGGATGCCATCAGCTGGTCTTTGTCTAGTGGCTTATATTGCCATAGGGAAGAAATTTCAGACAGTGACCCTTATTCTGAATGGCAGACAGCCATTTGGACTGCCTTCTAGGCCAATCAGGCATCTGCATCATCTGCATGCATGCATTTCTGGTCAGACAGTGGCTTGGATTTGCTGAAGGGTTTCAGTCATGTTCCTCTAGATGAGGAAGGGAGTCATGTGTCATGTAGTCTCCATGCCTGTTACTTTCCCACCAAGACCTTGGAAGTCTCCATGCCTGTTGTTTTCTCACGGAGACCTTGGGACTAAAACTTCTTTTGAATCTTGATTTATTACCAGGGGTTGTGCCCTAACTGCCTGTGTTTCCTCTACCTCCTAACCTGTTTCAAAGAGATTCAAACTAAGGAAGGGTCAAACAGATCTCAAGGGAGAAGTTTCAAGGGGTCATACAAAGACAGGCACTGCTCTCAACAAGACAGCTGCAGTCAAGGTTCTCAGCAAAAAAACTTCCTGGGTGAAGGAGCCAACTGAGCATACATCCAGATGCCTCTCTTGTGCCTTTTTATAGGAACATACTCTTTTTTCCTATCTCCTATCTCCTCTTCTTCTGGGCCCAACTCATTAGAAGGAGAGGAGAAAGGGTCAACATGGCCTTTCCATGTTCCAACATAGGCTTCCCTGTTTGGATCAGGCCCAAAAAGGGGAAGGAAAGGTTCTAAGATCAATAAAGTTAGAGTCTGGGTTATTACAATGAACTAAAATTTTAATGACTGAAATAAGAATGTTCATGTGACCAAAAAGGACTGAGAAAATAGAAAATTTGTTTAAGATGTAACTGGGGTAGTAGTAATAGTACCTTCTGAGTTCAATATGGACTGGTGAGAAAGATTAAAGTCTGGGTTCTCCTTACATTTGGCAACATTGGTACTACAATTAACAACTGTTAGGAATTTAATTGGTTCAGTTAAAATTGTGTAAACAGATCTCTTACTGCAGGAGAACAATGAAATAAAGGGCAATGTATGTATGTAACACTAAATGACAAGGAGCACATTCAGTTCTTATCTAAGGTCTCCTACAATTCATATGTCCTACCTTATGACATGTATGCAAGTAGAGTTCAATTCTTTCCCAAAGCAACAAAATTCCAACTATCTGCAAAAGCAAAGAAGAAAAATGGGTTTATTTTGAGACTACCAAGCTGCTGTCCAAAGCACCATTCTATAGTTCAAAATTCCTTTCCTAACTTAATATCATATGAAGTTCTTGTTGTATCTGTACTTTTCAAGCTCTGGGAGCTCACCATGCTTTCTCTTCCTGAAAAGTTCTCCCTCCACATACCACTTGACCAGTTCAAATGTCACCTCTTGTTTGCAACTTTCACCAGCACCCCTAAAGAATTCATTACTATTTCCTCTAGGATTTCATAGCAATTACCACACTGACGCCCTTCTTGAAACTCTGCCCATTTGTTTTCCCTGTGATGGACTTTATTCCTAGTATTATTTACACTCACTTATAAGAGGACAGAGTTCAGCTGCTAGCCCTCCCAAAGGTCATTTAAAAGCTCTTTCTTGGAAAACCAGTGCTGACATTCTACATGTAGTTAATACTGCTAAATGCTCAACAAATCTCAGATTTAAATCTAAATTAGACAGTCATCAAGTCAGTGTACAAAATGAAAACTGAAGTCCTCACATGCCTGGATATTAATGACACACTGAATACATAAGACACTTTTTGTCATCCCTACAAAATGCCGCTGTATTAACTATTACTACTCATTTGAAAATAAAAGGCAACCAAAGATCAAAAGAGTTATATGACTTGGGCAAGATTACAAAGTGACCTAATGATAGGGCTGGAAATAAAACCCAGGCCTCCTTCCTTTTTCACTGCTGCTACCACTGCATATATCCAAAAAGAGGTAGGGAAGAGTAGAAAATTTGTTAAGATGCATTACTTTATTGAACAATAGCAATCTTACCTTAGAATCTAACAATACCACTTCCTGTTAATTGTGTATGTAAGTGGGATAATTCAGTGGCCAGAATTTACCACATTTACTTCATCCACATTTTCCTGACTAAAAGGAAAAGTTCCTAACTGTTCCTTCTGCCTACAGCCACCATACCACAACCTCCTGAACGACTTTCCTAAAACAGAAATCTGATATATACCAAGTATCTTAGCCTTTTCTTCCAGGCCTTCCAAAAATCTGTCTACAACCATGTTTCCCCATGATTCTTCATTATGCCCTACACATTACAGAATTGACCTATTTCTCTTAACAAAGCATCTTGTATTTTTCTATCTTGCTATTACTCACAATATGTTCCTTCAGCCCAGAATGTTCTTCCCTGTTACAAGATTCTATGTCCAAATCTATCACCCCTTCAAGAGCCCTCCAGTGTCTCCTCTTCTAAGAAGTTTTATTTAATCCTCTTGGCTGGAAGTCACCTCTTTCTTCCCAGAACTCTTGCAGAACTTAATTTAGAACTCTCTAATAACAATGATAATGTTCCATCTGTGTTATTTTTGTCTATGACTTGTTGACAAAACACTGAAGGAACAATTATAACTGTACTTCTCATATCTAGCTCTGTGGAGTACCCTTAGTGAAAACAGAAACTGCATGTTTTCTGTATATTCAGTACTTATTATAATGTTCTCATATAATAAATTTGTTGAAAAAAAATTAATGCAATTAGCAATAGGTTTGGCAGTTAGATTCTTCTGTATTAGAAAGAAATCAGTGGGGACACAGAATGATGAAATCAGAGAAAAATATTGGTTCTTTGTATGAATGGGCACTGAAACACTTTTAATAGTTAAAGTTATCCTCTCATTCAGTTCTCCATTTCCAGACTTTTCTCTTGCATGGTATAAGTTTCTCCTGCAACATGACACTACAATGTGAGGCAACAGAGGCAAGGTCACTCTATTACACAAAGACTTTCTAAAATATATTTTGCATTTGAGTTAGGACAGTAGCATATGCACATTAGAACATGTTTGATTTACAAGGCCTAGAAAGACTGCTGATGTGAAGCTGTGTCTAAAATGAAACTGGGGAGGAGAGAAATGGTACAAAGAGCCAAATTGGTCAGACATATCCTCTAATAGCACAAACCTCCTCTCCCCATCCCTTGTGCATAAAATTAAAGCAGCTGATATAAGCTCCAACTCTACTAATACTAGAGTGATCACAAGCTCCCATGGCTCCCAGTGCCAACTAGATACTACTCCACAGACAAGAGCAACTCATAAGGCTACTCACAATGGAGAAGTGGGAAGCATCACTCACCAACAGCAAAAGAGTGTAGAGAGTCATGGTCCCAATGAAACTCAGCAAAAAAATGGACCAGAAGAACCACCGTCTTGTTCCTAAATAAGCGACCCTGAAAAAATGGATTTCAATCCTTAAAATACGGCAGAAATCAGTAGTAGCATCTGCATCAAGGACGGGGACAAGACCAGACTAAATGAGGCATAAGAAAATGGAGGGAGATAAGAGGAGAAGTACTTGGTGAACAAACCGTGAGAGCTTTGGGGATATTCATTTGAGTTTTAACTGTGTCCTACAGGCAATGGGGTATATTAATGGTGTCTCTATAAATGGTAGGGTTATTAAGTTATTATATTAACAAATATAATTAACAATTATATCCTCTTTAAAAAATATAATACAAAAACATGTAATACCAAAAGCAAAAAAGTCATTCTATAAGTTCACTACCTTAATAAATCTGCCAAAACTTTCCATTTTGGCAGGTTCCTTGTCCAGGTACATGTACATTTTCTTACATAATTATAATCATAACCACCACATTAAATTGCTCTAATCTGAGTGAAAGATTGGGTACTTTAAAAACAGTCCTGATTGTTTGGTTCCAAAAGTACTGTATGTGAGAAAATTATTAATGATTTGTTAATAGAAACAATGTCATACTTGGTGTAGATAATACATTTCAAACAATGAATAATTTTTATTTCAAGACAATAGAAATTACCTCCTTTCCATGGATAAATTATATTTTAAGGACATAAAATACGGGTTAGTGAACATCTAATCATATTAAAAATAACAAAGAAAATCGCCCTTTGGTGGGGAAATTGTCAGGCACACCTAGAGGAAACGGGCAAGTAACTTTCCTAGCAAAAGTCATCCCAGATCAAGATGCTGGGAAGGAACAGTACTCCTTGGAGAACATGCAACCAGGATTCAGAAAACATGTAAGGAAAGTCAACAAAGGAACACAGTGAAGCTCAGAATAGAACTTGCTCCTAATAAAACATAATCAATAGAACTATCGGAAAGATTCCACAAAAATATATTTAAAATATTCAGTGAAGACTCATATCCATGAAACAAGAACAGAATGTTTTAATGCAAGTACATGTAATTATCAAAAACAATCAAATACATCTTTGAAATTTTTTTTGAAATGAAAAATGACCTTACTGGAGGTTTATATGTAGCCAAAGAACTAAACAGTTTAATCAAGTAGTGATACTTTGTTTTCTAAGTAATAAAGAAAACAAGATTTGCCATTTAATTAGAACTCTTTTTTAAAAAAAATCATTTTTCTGGGCAAATTAGGAATTTATTTTACTCCCTTTCAACCTAAAAAATCTTAAGATATTCAATCACATGTAAATATTAATATTCATTTGGTTCAGATTATAGCCCTCTCACCAAACTCAAGTGAACCTCCCACCCTCCTGTTGTGAAATAGAGAAGGAAGAACTTACCTCTTGCCACAGATTTTTTTTTTCCTTTTGGCAGTACTGGGATTTGAAATCAGGGCCTCTTTCTATACAGGTGCTCTACCACTTAAGCCACACCTCCAGCCCAAAACTGTGGTCTTTTTTTCTCTTCTACTCCTTCCTATCCTAGTAATCTGTACTCATTTCTGGTGATGGTGGTAGTGGGTATGACAAAAGACTGAGATTTTAGAGTGAGGCATTTGCTTATGTGACTGCCTTTACATAAACGGAAACTGAAAAAGGAAGCCTGTCTCCTTTGTTGCTATCACTTCTTTAAACTGGAAATATATAATGCTGACAATTGTACAGTAGGCTTACTCTATGTGGATGTGCCCAATTTAGGCTTCTTGTATTTTTAAGCAATTTTCTGTCTGTTCTGGACCATTTCATTATATACCTCTAGCAGCATAACCACACTGCCCTTTTGGATGTGGGCCTTCTCATTCAACCAAGACAGCCTTCTTGGTGCAGCTTCATAAATGATGCCCTCTCATCTAAAATCCACAAATTTCTGCACTAAGAAATCTTTCAGGACCTCCTTTGCCTTTCCACAGCTACAAAATGTAGCTTTCTTGCATCTTTCACTAATACATACCACAATACTTTGGATCAGCATATCCAACTATCAGTTAACAGTAATTCTAAATGGAAAAAGGCACTGGTAGTGTTGGTGGAGTGGCTCAAGTGGTAGAGCACCTGCCTGGCAAGTATGTGGCCCTGAGCTCAAGCTCCAGTGCCACCAAAAAGAAAGACATTGGTGGTGAGGCAATAGGAACCTTCATACAACATACCCAGAGGGAGGGGGTTAGAGGAGAAAGACAAGTGACCTTTACCCTATCAAAATCCTGTTCTCTCTAGATAAAGGGAAGAACTAGAAAAGCTGGAGAAAATATTTTTTAAAAAAATCTAGGCGTGACAGCACATGCCTGTATTCCCAGCTACTTGGGAGGCAAAAACAAGAGGATCACAGTTCAAGGACAGCTCAGGCAAAATGTCAGGGAGACCCTGTCTCAAAAAATAAGCTGGGTGTGGTGGCACACACCTGTGATCTCAACTACTTAGAAAGGAAAAAGAAAGATCATAGCCCAAGCCTGAGAAAAAATCATGAAACCCTGTCTGAAAAACACTAAAAGCAAAAAAGATTGGGGACATAGCTCAAGGGGTAGAGTGCCTGTGGAACAAGCATGAGGCCCTAAGTTCATCTCAGTACCACCAAACAAACAAACCAAAACCACATAAATAAAGGCACCAGAGATCTATGAGGTAGTGGAAACATGCAGCCAAGATCCAAATAAGGGAGGAAATCCAGACATACTGGTTGCCATTTGGGGCGATTTTTCTACAGAAGCAGCAGCTGAGATACAGGAAGCTCTTGTAAGATTTACACAGCTAAGAGGATAAAAATGGAAGAAAGTAATTTCATATATTTTGATTTGGGACCTTCCATGGCTATATCTTAGGAGTAAGCACAAATAAATAGACTGATTTGGGGGCCAACTCCTAGTCTGGAATAATCTGTGTGAAACTGGATTAAGATAAATATGTTGTGCTCTAGTATGCACATGAACCCCAGCACTGTGGCCCTATACACGCAAACACAAAAGAAAAAAAGTAAACAGGATTTTCTAATACCCATAGTTATCTGCCAGAAGCCCTCCTCTGAGAGGATAAGTATTTGCACAATTTTTACTCGCAATGTCTACCACTTCAGCAAAACCAGTCAGACCACATTAGTGAAAGAAGCAATGAACAACAAAAAGGATGTTAGAAAACCTACATAAGGGAGGTATCAGACATTGATGTCTGAATAATTACCCACAACATGTTCAGACTGGGACAAAAATTAAGAATTTTAGCAGAATTTAACACTCCATTATCATCAATAGATAGGTCATCCAAACAAAAACTCAATAAAGAAATCCAAGATCTAAAATATGCAATAGATCAAGTGGACCTAGTAGATGTCTACAGAACATTTCATCCAACCTCTACACAATATACATTCTTCTCAGCAGCCCATGGAACCTTCTCCAAAATAGATCATATCCTAGGGCACAAAGCAAGTCTCAGCAAATATAAGAAAATAGAAATAATACCATGCATACTATCTGACCACAATGCAGTAAAAGTAGAACTCAACAACAAAAGTAAAGACAAAAAACATGCAAACAGCTGGAAACTAAATAACTCATTACTTAATGAAGAATGGATCATCGATGCAATAAAAGAGGAAATTAAAAAGTTCCTAGAAGTCAATGAAAATGAAAACACAACCTACCAGAACCTATGGGACACAGCTAAGGCAGTCCTGAGAGGAAAGTTTATAGCCATGAGTGCATATATTAAAAAGATGAAAGATCCCAAATCAATGACCTAATGATACATCTCAAACTCCTAGAAAAACAAGAACAAGCAAATCCCAAAACAAATAGAAGGAGAGAAATAATAAAAATAAGAGCTGAAATCAACGAAATAGAAACCAAAAAAACCATACAAAGAATTAATGAAACAAAAAGTTGGTTCTTTGAAAAAATAAACAAGATCGATAGACCCCTGGCAAACCTGACTAAAATGAGGAGAGAAAAAACCCAAATTAGTAGAATCAGGAATGCAAAAGGGGAGATAACAACAAACACCATGGAAGTCCAGGAAATCATCAGAGACTACTTTGAGAACCTATATTCAAATAAATTTGAAAATCTAAAAGAAATGGACAGATTTCTAGATACATATGATCATCCAAAACTGAACCAAGAGGAAATTAATCACCTGAATAGACCTATAACACAAAATGAAATTGAAGCAGCAATCAAGAGTCTCCCCAAAAAGAAAAGTCCAGGACCTGATGGATTCTCTGCTGAATTCTATCAGACCTTTAAAGAAGAACTGATACCAACCCTCCTTAAACTGTTCCATGAAATAGAAAGGGAAGGAAAACTGCCAAACACATTTTATGAAGCCAGTATTACACTTATCCCAAAACCAGGCAAAGACACCTCCAAAAAGGAGAACTATAGGCCAATCTCCTTAATGAACATTGATGCAAAAATCCTCAACAAAATAATGGCAAATCGAATTCAGCAACACATCAAAAAGATTATTCACCACGACCAAGTAGGCTTCATCCCAGGGATGCAGGGGTGGTTCAACATATGAAAATCAATAAACGTAATAAACCACATTAACAGAAGCAAAGACAAAAACCACTTGATCATCTCAATAGATGCAGAAAAAGCCTTTGATAAGATCCAACATCATTTCATGATAAAAGCTCTAAGAAAACTAGGAATAGAAGGAAAGTTCCTCAACATTATAAAAGCTATATATGACAAACCTACAGCCAGCATTATACTTAATGGAGAAAAATAAAACCATTCCCTCTAAAATCAGGAACCAGACAAGGATGCCCACTATCTCCACTCCTATTCAACATAGTACTGGAATTCCTAGCCAGAGCAATTAGGCAAGAAGAAGGAATAAAAGGAATACAAATAGGTAAAGAAACTGTCAAAATATCCCTATTTGCAGACGACATGATCCTATACCTTAAAGACCCAAAAAACTCTACTCAGAAGCTTCTAGACATCATCAATAGCTATAGCAAGGTAGCAGGATATAAAATCAACATAGA